CATAAGGTGGCCATCATTCTGTCTGGGATTTGATCTCACATATGCTTCCAAGTATTATGTCATGGACTGCTTACCTTAGACTTTTTCTGCACTGATGAATGCAAACAAGTGCCATCTACATACTAAGTTCTAAAATGTTTTGGGAATAAAACACATCACTCATTACTTGGGCAAAAGTAAACATAAAAATGTCAGCATACAGAATATGATTGCAGGTAGTGTAATGAAAAGGTAAAAGTAGGCTATTATAGGAATATAGCTACAACATTTAGCCTACTAAATTTTGCAGCTAGGCATATAGCCATGGGGGGGGTAATTACAAAGCATAGTTATTTAAGTGTGACTTAAGTGCATAGGTTCACCACGCAGCCATATTATCCTGAATAACTTGTGTCCTCTAGGCTACTGTAATTTAAATTTCTTCTGGGATAGAGGATGTCTCTTCCATACATATATATATATACCACACATTAGATATTTAACGGCAGCAGGCCAACTGCTCTGCCACTTAACATCATAATGGCAAAACCCAACACAATGGTAGATCTACGGTATTAGTGTAATGTCGGTTCACACACAGGATTATCGCTGTGGTAAGAGATGCACAGATTAAAGTTTTCCTGGCTGATTCCAGAAGTCTGACCTGCCGATTCTAATTGTAGCCGATTCCGATTTTATTTCTTTGTAAGATCTATAACTGACAGCATACACAACATTTTTGAACTATTTATGGAAAATCTATTTTCCCCATCAGCACCAGTATAATGTTAGCTATTCTCACTGGTCTCAATTGTATTGCCATAATGAAACACGATTATAAATAACATTTCTCTGGAAGGAGCTGAAAATAAATTCCACAAAATTTTAATTCTACTTAATTCTCCAATTTATTTTTGTATTTAATCACAACTACAGTAATCTGCTCACTTTGCTTTCCCATCAGACACACAAGCACACACCTACACCTGTCGTCTCTCTCTGTCTGCTCTGATTTTATTTGTCAGCAGTTTTATTTAAAAGAACTCTGTTTGGGTTTTCCGCTATTCCGTTTCACAGCAGCAGATGAGCCGCGTGTGGAGACTTGTTGTTATTACAGAGACCACCGTGGTATGACTGACATCATCACCGACAGCTGTGTTAACTCTTTACCTGCCCCCTGCTTTACAACATCCACAGCGTCTCTTTCTGTGTGTTTCTCTGCAGAAGTAAATAGTGAGCGTTGCGTCTTCTTCACTCTCGTGAATAACTTCCAACACCTAGGACATGTTTGGCCTGTGTGTGGATGTGACATGAGGTTACTGTCTGTGCACACATGTGAACACGCGCAGAGCAGCGTGTTTGTAACGTTAAACGTGACAGCAGAAAATTGGATAGCCTGTTTGACACTGCTGGACCCGGTCACTGGTCAGAGCCCAGTAAGCGAAAATAAAACGCCTATTTCAGTCCCCAGCTGATTAATCTGCACATCTCTAGCTGTAGAAGAAGAGTTACAGTCCAATAAGCCTTTAAATAAGATACCAAATATCTAGGTAATGTTATAATAACAGCTAGGTAATGTTATAGTAATAACAAGTGGGCAATGCCTCCGTGCCAACAGGAAGTGCCCCGTGCTTTGAAGTAACTTTTACTAGGGCCAAAACAGCAGCTGTAACATAGTGGCGCTGGAACATTTTCGCTTAGGTGCTGCAGAGTAGAAATGCCCGCATACAAAAGTTATGCAATTACAGCAATGTATTGCTTTTTGCAGTAATGCAGTTATATAACCATAACTAAAAATAAATGGTAATATTTTACCCTTTACAATCTGAGTAAGGCACCTTACAACTCATTTAACCCGAAGTTAAGTGATTTTTTTACACCTAGAAATTTTTGGCACCAGAAAACAAATCCATGAGTAAAAGTAACATATTTCCTGTTGCAGGAATCTGATGGTCGAGATTGAAGGCAGAGTGCAAAGTACAGGAAGCTCGGCTCCTCTTAACAAGATGGTATCTCCCCATCATGCATAGCCTAAATATATTTCTATCGGCTATAGGTGTGTTTGTGCTTTAACTAATTACTTTCATAATTAGAGAGGCTGCTGTCAGTTCACCCTGACCGATCCTGTCAGGTGTCGGGAGATTCAATCAATGACGTTATGTGGCTCTACCTTGTGCGTAAATGCGCACAGCGTCTTCTTAATGGGGAGACGATCAGGGGCGTTTCCAGGCTCTTGAAACATTGGGGGCTTTGCCCAGCCCCGTTTTCACAATTTGGGCTTTAAACACTTAATATCCTGTATTCTGGTGAACTTTTCTGCACCAATTTATTGAGGAAATGTCTTTATTTATATAAAGGAAACACAAAATTCAGTGACAGGTGACGATTCAAAATACAAAAACTATAGTGTAATATGCTGTTATCAGGCATTCTGTATTGCCGTCAGATATGTGTCTCCTGTAAATTCTCATTTAATTGATCCCTGCTGAGTCTACATACATGCCTACATGCAGGCCTGAAGTAGCATGTGGCACCTTTTCACTTCAGTGTCAAATTAGCTTAATTAATTTTAATTCACTTATAACTCCTGGACTTTAAGTGCTCCTATGTTTCAGCAGGTTTTCTGCTTATGCTCAAAACTTTCTGCACATCAGAATCTCTCCCAAATTTCACATTTGCAGAATAATATTTTGAGACAAAAGTCGTAATATTACAAGAATAAAATCGTTACCTGATGAGAATGAAGTCATGCCCTGCGTTATTGCTCTGCTGATATGGTAGTAGGCTACCCCCTTTAGACCATCTGACAGACACAGAGCCCGTCTGGAACTGTACTGGATGAGACGAGCGGCAGTGGTGGTTCTAGAACCAATTTTATTAAGGGGGCCAGGCTGGGGCCAATTGTTTTGTCAGAGGGGCACTTCAATCCGGGACAAAAGAGGGAAAGGCAATGTTTTCAAAATGTCTTATGTATTAATAATGTAATGTTTTAGTGTGTTTCAGTAACTTACAGTTATTTGTTTCAGTAACAGGATCTTTTCAGTAACTCAATTATAGTTTTATTAAATTACATTATACAAAAAACAACATTCCTGTTAACTTTAGCTCACGTTACAGGACATTGTTTGATGCAACACTTCTTTGTAAGGCTTAATGAACAGTAGAAGCTCTAGTGTACGAGACTTCTGGATCCCAGTTTGTATTTGTATCCCACATAACTTTGCTAGGAAACAACTTCTCCATATTCACCCCTAATTGCAGAATGATGGAGACACCGATGCACAAGTATAAATGAATCGGTACATGTGCAGCCTACGACGTAGCTACGCACATAGACCCTTTGCAGGAGCATAAATCAAGCTTAATGCAACATCAAACTGGGATGCCGGAGTGGAAATTAGGGATGGGTGCTGGTAGGACAAATAGTCTTTCAAGTTGAATATTGCCGTAAAACTTCAATTAATAGCCCGGGCAGCTTAAATCACTGAACTCACCCTGCCTCTATCTGGGACAGGCTTCTTTTTGGGACAGGCCTTTAATTAATTTATCATGCCGGTATATTATATAAATAATACTTTGGTGCTCATTGTTTTTTGTAAAATAAACTAAACGATTGAATTGTAGAATCTAAACAATCTAAGGATGTGTAGCATGTCCTATTGACAAAGGTTTAAAATTTATATTGGTATGCACAATCTAAGCAGCTTGGAAGCAGCTCAAGTTGGCGACCCAGTGTGCTTTAAGAGGGTTTATCCATCTAAAGAACTTCTATAAAAAGCAGACAAGGCCTCAAAGATTGAGACCTGCATTTATTTGTCAAAATGTGCAGCCACATCAAGCCAGTAAAAGGGACAGGCATCTAATTAGGACTAGGCTTTAATTGAAGTTTTACAGTATTACAGTTAGTGTCTCTATAAAATGACGGGAAGCAAATGTCTCATTTCATGAAATGCCTGTTGCTTCCCTCCTCGACTCGCAATCTCAGGTAGACGCAGGAGAGGATGCTATGGAAATCATCTAGGTACAAACTTTTTAATACATATTTTATAAAAGAGTGTTGAAACATTTTTTCAGACTTTACGAGTTTGTGAGTTTTGACATAGCCAACTCTTTAAATTCAATACAAATTCAATGAAATTGGCGGTAGCCTTTGTTATTTTGTGACTAATGAATATGGACCGTACCCTGTAAGATCAACACATTTAGAATTAACTCATATGACATTTATCATGTTCAATACGGATATTTATACACTCACATAATATAATATTTGAGTCCAAAAGTCATTGAATGTACACAGAGGTAAAAGAGATGCTGTAACTGAGAATGAGAAAGGCCCCAGACTCCACTGAGGTGAGCGACAATTAGAGCTGATCAGCAACAGCCGTGTCACCAGCACAACAGGCCTTTTAAACCCCACATGTGGCACAGGTGGCATTTTCACTTAGAGACTGGAACAATGGGAGCTCTGCGGGCCTTGCTTGTTTGCGTGCTGACTGTGTGGTTTACCAAAGGTTTATTTTTTATATTTTTCCTCTTAAAGCATAGGCTGTGTTTTCAAACTGGTAGTGTTGTAGCCTACAGCAAATGTAAAAGTAAGGTTACTCTTTCAGAAATCTTGTGGCTACGAGCGTAAGCTATGCCTTCCCATTAGTTCTGAAAATTCCTGAAATGTCATTCAGCTGTAACAAAGTGCTGGTGATAACGGCACGTGTGCTGTCCTATAGGCTCTGGTTTGCCAGTTGGAGGCACAACAGAAATCAGGATGATGAGCTGCAGAGAGTGAGAGGTAAGAACACTTGTGGTGACTAAAATGTTTCAGAGCTATATACTGACACTAACTTACTTTTTAATGTCTTCTGTACAGAGTTTTTGTTGCAACAAGATGCTGATGGAGGTGAGTAGATTCTGTCTCATGCTTGTAGGGTTTAATAAACCTGCTACTGGGATTTCACAGTAAAAACTACACAACAAGATCTACAACAGTTGATGATCAGCCTAAGCCTACTTCATAATTCAAAATCATGTAAACTATATTTTGGCTAGATGGCCTACTAGCCTATAGCATGATGCAGTAAGAACTTAATACGCTGCTTGTGTTGTCAGACTATAACACGACGGGCCTCACCAATGTGACGAACACGACGGGCCTCACCAATGTGACGGCCACGACCCCAGCGCCGTCTCCGGCCACGACGGGCCTCACCAATGTGACGGCCACGACCCCAGCGCCGTCTCCGGCCACGACGGCCTCACCAATGTGACGGCCACGACCCCAGCGCCGTCTCCGGCCACGACGGGCCTCACCATGTGACGGCCACGACCCCAGCGCCGTCTCCGGCCACGACGGGCCTCACCAATGTGACGGCCACGACCCCAGCGCCGTCTCCGGCCACGACGGGCCCACCAATGTGACGGCCACGACCCCAGCGCCGTCTCCGGCCACGACGGGCCTCACCAATGTGACGGCCACGACCCCAGCCCTCGGCCACGACCTCCTCACCAATGTGACGGCCACGACCCCAGCGCCGTCTCCGGCCACGACGGGCCTCACCAATGTGACGGCCACGACCCCAGCGCCGTCTCCGGCCACGACGGCCTCACCATGTGACGGCCACGACCCCAGCGCCGTCTCCGGCCACGACGGGCCCACCAATGTGACGGCCACGACCCCAGCGCCGTCCCGGCCACGACCCCAGCGCCGTCTCCGCCACGACCCCAGCGCCGTCTCCGGCCACGACCCCAGCGCCGTCTCCGGCCACGACCCCAGCGCCGTCTCCGGCCACGACCCCAGCGCCGTCTCCGGCCACGACCCCCGCCGTCTCCGGCCACGACCCCAGCCCGTCTCCGGCCACGACCCCAGCGCCGTCTCCGGCCACGACCCCAGCGCCGTCTCCGGCCACGACCCAACCCTGATTGTGTCTCGCATGGTCACATTAGGAGGCAATTAAAGTTTGGGACTTGGTGGACCATATGCAAGACTTCTTTGACTGTCTTTCTGCATGTACCCTCCCTGTTGTCTCTGCTTTAAATAAAACTTGACTTGAGATCTTTCAGAAAAGGGCACTTTAAACTGACGTTACTTGATTTCTTACAAATCCCTGTAGGCCTATCGCATCTCATTCAGAACTTGAATGTGTTGTCAATCAGGAGCATTCAGAGTTCACACAACTGCATCAATTCAACTCAGTAGCTGCTGCCAGGATGGCCTAATCTTTTCAGTAGATTAACCTGATTGTCCACATAAATTTTGGACTTGCAAGGCTGTAGACCCTTGTATGTAAAATCAGACATGGCTGTCAAATCAGCTATTAATAGCCGATCTTGAGTAAAATGGCTACGCCCCCGTTAGTGCAAGTATAAATTGCATCAGTGCTGGTTTTGTACACCCAACTCAAATGGTTGGGCCACAAATTTCCTGCCTATTTAGTCCAAAGACAAAATGTTGTGGGGTTACGTTGCTGAGGCTGGGTTGGAGAAACTGGCTAGCTTTACTGAGTGATGCTGCGTTCCATTTACCTCAGAGCTGGGATTGATGGCGTTCCAGTTAACAAGTTGGAAAACCTCACTCGGCCAGCTGTTTACAACTAGCCAGGTTAGCTGTTTTGTTTGTTCTGTTGGACAGCACTTTATGTACGAACATTTGAGTCCCAAGTACACAGAAGTGCTAATAAACTACAGCTTTCACTAACTGATACCCTGACAGCAATCTTGTATCACAAAGTCGGGGTAGTGCGGTTGTCCCGACTTTCCGAGTCTGAAATCCGACTTCAGGGGGCGATCCAGTTGAAAGTTCCAACTGTCAAAACATGTAAAATGGAACGCACCATGACACATGGTTTGTGTGTTGTGCATTTTAGGCAAAGTCTTAATGCTGAAACACATGAAATTTGGGACAATTTTCTTTTGCATTTAGGTCTTAACCACATTAGACCAAAACGCTACGCGTAGAGCGGTCACAACTGGACAAGATTGTCCCAGAGGCACAAATAGGCTTTTCCTTGAAAATTTTGTTTCAGATTTGAGACGTTATTCTCTTTTGCACAGATAGCCTATAGCAAAAAAATTTGACAATTTAATCTTTTTGGAACCATTCCACACATTTATGGACTGATGGGGTTCATCCCAGCAGATCAGGAAGCCGTATGTTGGTTAGTAATATCCAGCACGCTGTACAATGCGCCCCATGTGTCTGACTATTTACACCACACACCCCCTCCACAGAAGCTGCTACTTTATGTCCACTGCACAGACCTGCACTGTTTCCATCAGTGGCTCCCCCTGCCAGTCACCCCTCTTTGATTTGTATGTAAGTATAAACATGCATCACTCTCATATTCCCATAGTAACGATATCTGTTCGGCCACCTAAATCAAAAGTGAACAGAAGAACAGCTGTGCCTAACAACTTAAAGACTAATACAACTGCTCCCAAAAGAAATAATAGCATGAAAATTAAGTGTGGGCTATTAAATGTCAGATCCCTCTCTTCAAAAGCTGAACCGGTTAATGAACTAATATCAAATCATAATATGGATTTGTTCTGTTTGACTGGGACATGATGATGTGTAAGCCTCAATGAATCCACTCCTCCCAGTCATAGTAATCCGCACATACCTCGAGGCACTGGCCGAGGAGGTGGAGTATCAGCTCATTTTCATTCAGACCTTTTAGTCAAGTCAAAACCCAAACTAAGTTCTGGCTCTTTGAAAGCCTTTTCTCGGTATTTCAAACCCGACCTGGACAACTATGCAGCAGATTTTATTTGTTATAGTGTACCGTGTTCCCGGTCCTTACTCCCAGTTTTTATCAGAATTTGCAGAATTTTTATCTGACTTAGTCCTTAAAACAGATAACGTAATGATAGTAGGGGATTTTAATATCATGTGGACGTCAAGAATGAGAGCCTCAGCACTGCATTTAGTTCACGGCTTAATTGGTTGGCTTCTGTCAAAGCGTTCATAAACCCACACACTGTTTCAACCATACCCTTTACCTAGTATTAACATATGGTATTGAAATTGAAAACTTGGTGGTCTTTCCTCATAATCCCATTTTATCTGACCACTATCTATTATCTTTTGAGTTCCAATTGTTGGACTTCAAGCCACCAAGCAAATATTCCAATACTAGATCCCATCTGACGGTGTTGTAGTTAAGTTTAAGGATTCAAATGCATCAGTGTGTAACTCATTCCGTGTTTCATAATACCTCCTATAGACTCCTATGCTAACGTCCATCCCTCACAAATCTATGGTACAACAGTCAAACACGCAAGTTAAAGAGAGCATCACAGAAACTTGAGAGGAAACGGCGTCTTACACATCATGAAGATTCTCATTCAATGTGGCAGGATAGTGTGAAAATGTATAGGAAGGCCCTCCGCAGCGCCAGAACAGCCTATTACTCAAAATGAATAGAGGAAATAATAATTATAATCTTTATTTGTAGAGCACTTTGTGTTTATGTGTAATGAGATCAGAAAAATAGCGTGTTCTCGCATCCTTAATGTTATGTAGTTGGTTAATAAATCCTTCAGACTGAGGTAATGGACTTGGAGACTGGATTTTCCATCTGCGCTCTGCTTTCCTGCATTCCTTTTTGGGCTGCGAATGCTGTCTTTTATCCAGGGTTGCTTACTAGCTTTAGACGTAGGCCTAACCTTAGAGGAGCAGTAATATTTAGTGACAACAAGCAGATATGATTGAAGAGATCAACTAGATTGTTGGTGTTGGAATCAGACAGGTGTTGGCTTTGGCTCTGAAAGAATGTGCAAACGTTTAAACACTTTGTTCATTAAAGCTGATATTGTACAACTGTATACTAACAAATACAACAAAATTCAAGAAAAGACACTTTGGCTATTTAGTTGACTTTGACCTGACCAAGCAGTTCTTCCCTCCTATGTTTTATGAGAGCAGCTTCTCCCCTATGAGTAAAAAGCCTACCAACTGTACTGCACCAAACAATGCGCTTAAAAAAACGTGACTCTTGCTGTTTACATGAATAAATGCACAATATTATAGAGCATGCAATCAACTGCTGTTGCTAACGCATTTGTCTCGGTCCAGGTGTATTATTTATTTTCATCTATGTCACCCTGGTATAACGTTAGTGCTGCATTATGCTACTGATCCGACCGTTCTGAAAGATCTATAGCCACTCTTACTTCCGGGTCACCTGGCTCACCGGTCTCTTTTCTTAACTATCTTCAAACGGAAAATGAAAATAGGAATTTCATAAACCAAATCGGACCATTATTTGAATTTGGTTTAGTTGTTTTTGGATTTAGAAACCAAAATGGGAGAACGTGTCTTTTTTTTTTTCGTTTTAGTTTTTGGTTTGAAACGACAAACGAAAAAAAGGTGGTTTATTCGTTTTGTGGTTCAAACGAAAAAACAAACTATCAGAACGTACACGGACCAAATAATTTAGAGAGACTTGAGCGTTTTCGTTTTTTGGGAATGTTTTATTAACATGGAGAGAACATATTAGATATGGTGTCAAAAGGTAGGCTATAATGTCATGAGGTGGAAGTATACGGTTCAGTAATCTGTATTAGCAGACCTGGATGTTATACAAGCTTGGGCTTTAAGAGTGAGTTTAGAAGCGGTTAGGACCTCCCCTGTATGTGCTCTCCAGTTGAAGCAGGTGAAATGCCACTGTGGTTGAGACGCAGGAGTATGATAAAGTTTGGCGCAAATGTGGTGTGGCCTATTAGACCTGTCGGGAATTAGAAACACCATGGTAGATTTGGAATTACGTAAGATTAAATGCAATAATAAAACTGCTGATTTAACTATGTATATTATAGCTATAGGGACAGTAAGGAAAGTATTCAGATTTTTACAGATGGTCAAAGGACATGCAAACAGATGCACAGAGTCTGCAGTTGTTGTTCTTTTATCAAGTAGAACATCTGAAAATCTGAGTGTTTACAGTTGAACTGTTGGCAATATTGATGACTTTGGAATGGATAGAACAAATTAGTTTAAGGAAATATTAATATGTAGTGACTCTGCAGCCAGAAGTCACCTGGACCTGCTGTATGAAGTCCCCGGTGAAAAAGTTGTACTTTTTCTTGATGCACTTATCACATTTTAATTGTACCATACTAAGTGTATATTAAATGTGTTATTTTGGAACAACTTAAAGTATGTTAAGTGTTCTTTTAGAATACTTAAACTCAACTTTAAAAATTGCAATATATTTTAATATACTTAGCTGTGTTAAAATGGAACAACTTTAAATAAATTACTCTAATTTAATATATTTTTAAACTTTTGTGCTAACAGCTTAAATATGTTTGAACATTATTATTAACATTTCTGATTATTAGTTTCTTACTAGTATACTCCAAGAGCCGCTATCAATATACTACAAAGCTGCTTTATGAAACC